TAGGTGGGACTATAGGCATGGGCCACCACGCCTGGCTAATTTTTGGTATTTTTAGTAGAGACGGGGGTTTCACTGTGTTAGCCAGGATGGTCTCAATCTCCTAACCTCATGATCTGCTGTGCTGGGATTACAGGATGAACCACTGCGCCTGGCCAATCCTAGGACATTCTTCTAACACTTAGCTAAGCTTGTTTTGTGCCTAGGGATCAGCTCGAGGTGGAAGCTTACAGTCTTCTCAGGTTTTTTCTGATCATGCATCTTGCGTGAACTTACACATGGCTTCCTAAATTCTCTCACATATATGGCTGCTTTTGAATGTGAAAATTACTTATAGTGCAGTTTCTCCTCTGGTGTTTAGATGGTCTGTTATATACCTTCATCTGCAATTTTTTGTCCCAGGAGCCTGTGGGTCTGCAGTCACTCTGCCGGTTTTATGAGTAGTGCCTACCACTGTTTTCACGTGAGTTCTGAGTTAGACAAAACAGAGCCTATCTCTTTGTTTCAGTTTTTCAAGTATCTGCCAGAACAAATGTACATAATAATTTGTGAACCAGGTCTGCTATGTTCCCTCTGGTTCAAGGAAGGGTACTGGGAACTGAGTTGTTGCCAGTTCAAGGCCACGTAATGAAGAAGGGTGGGGTAAGGGTGAGTAATAAATAATGTCACAAAACTTTTCTACCATTTTGAAGATGGCTTTTTCTTGATTGGGCATTTGCTTGGTGGCTGTCAACTTTATTGTCCAGAGCTCTGATAAAGTTGGTTCAAACAGTTTCTGCTTTCTTTTCCCCTCATATGTTTCTGTGGGGAAATAATAGTTTGGCCCTTCCTAGCCTGCCATTTTGCTGATGTCCTCTTTAACATAGTTTTGCCTTCACTTGGACTTTCACCAAAGGGCGACAAAGGACTTGGCATGTAGCCTAAATGAAAGTGTGTACAATCACGATGTAATTGTGGGAACAGAGACACTCTTGGCCACTGCAAAGAAACTTGGAATAGGAGCTTGGTTGGAGAATTAGGATTTTATAGACGAGGAATCTAGGAGGATATTGAATGACAGTTGAGAATGGAGAAGCTTATAAAATGCAGGTTTGTCCAGGTAGTAAATTGCTTGGGGAGCTGGTGCTTGCTGACAGTAGTGGACAGCTGCAGTTACATGCTGTGAATGGTTGGGTCTGATTTCTGGTTGCAAATTAATTCTAGCTTATGAAGGGTCCTGAGCAATGCCAAAAGTGAGCAAGTAGAAGAATATGTGAAAAGAATGAGATGACTGGTTCTGGTGTTAAACTAGAGCCTCCCCTCAGGCCTCAGAGAACCTGTCTAATCTACTTTAGTCCTTATGGCGCCTTTCATGTCAGCTTGTTTCACCCTGCCTGTGCTTTCCAGTTGTGTCTCAGAAGTGACTGGAGGAGGTAAGCTTTTGGTAATTGTCTTCGTTTCTCCATTTTCTCGCTCTTTTTCCCATCATTAGTACCCCCTCCTTCTCCTCTTAGTTTTCTTCTTTTTCCCTTTATCCTCCTTCGCCTCCTGCTTCCTGTATGGAAATATGCTCCAAATAAATAATCTGTGAAATGAATTCACACTAAGGTGGACACGATCAATAAAACTTGAGTGTAAACCTGTTTGCATTTTAACAGAAGCTTCCATTTCAATAAAGACGAACAAAAAGTTCTAATTATGAAACTCCACGTGTTAGCTGTTTCATAGGAAAGCGACTCTTTAGAGAGGGTCTGATCCCAACTCAGAATATTTTTCCGTTTTCCAGGTACAGTCTAATCCAAAAGGTCAAGATGAGAAAATTCTAAATCAAAAAAGATCTTTAGAAAACCAACATTTTTTTTCCCAATATGAAAAGAAACTCTGGTGCTCGTTTGAGCTGTGACATCTTTGGATGATGACTTTTTACACCTTTCCAGCCAAAGACACCAGGGATAAAACCAAGATCTTGACTTTTTTTTTTTTTTTTAAGACAGAGTCTAGTTCTGTCACCCACACCAGAGTGCAGTGGCACAATCTTGGCTCACTGCAACCTCCGCCTCCCAGGTTCAAGCAATTCTTCTGCCTCAACCTCCCCAGTAGCTGGGGTTACAGGCACCCATCACCACGCCCAGCTAATTTCTGTATTTTTTAGTAGAGACGAGGTTTCGCTTTGTTGGCCAGGCTGGTCTTGAAATCCTGACCTCCAGTGACCTGCCCGCCTCCACCTCCCAAAGTGCTGGGATTACAAGCATGAGCCACCATGCCTGGCCTGACCTTGCCATATTCAGAAGTTAGGCCAGGGGGATTTTCACCTTGCTACAGAAAAAGAAAGGGTGATGAGCAGGAATAGAACATACCTAATTTAGGATCTTGGCTATTTAGAGGATAATAAGCAGCCTCCATATGTTTATATGGCCTTTCTTCTTACTCATGGTCAGAAAATCTTCTTTGGGATGCAGTGTACCAAGTCGGGTGGTGCCAGTGCTAGAAGAATGGGTACCAGAAAATAAGAGCAATAAGAGCTAAGAGTGGGACATACATATCCCTGTGATTGACTTAACCTCTCCCAGCCTCTGTTCTTTCATCTGTAGTGTGGGAACAATACTATCTACTGAAGACAATTAGGACTCTCTTTCTTTAATAGAGATGGGGTCTTGCTATGTTGCCCAGGCTGGTCTTGAACTCCTACCTTCAAGTGATCCTCCCACCTCTGCCTCCCAAAGTGTTGGGATTACAGGCATGATCTACCAAACCCAGCCTTTCAGAATTTTGAGTAATGATTAGGAAGACCTTCCCCATTCCAAGATTATAAGAGTCCTTTTATGTTTTCTTCTAATACTTTGATGGTTTCATTTTTACATCTAAATCTTTAATCCATTTGGATCATATTCTTGTGTGTGGTAGGAGGTGGGGCTCCCACTTTCATTTTTTTCCAGAAGCCTATCCAGTTTCCTTACAACATTTGAACAGTCCATCTTTTCCCACTGATTTGTAAAGCCATCTTTAAATGATGCAGCTTAAAAAAAAATCAATGGACAAGGTATTTACCATTATTAGAGGGGTCCATTTGAATTATTCTTATAGTTTATAAAGAGCTTCCCCGTCACTGTCTCATTTTATTTTTTGTTTTTGTTTGTTTTTGGATTACCCGGGCCTGGGCAACATAATGGGACTCCATCTCTTCAAAAATAAATAACAAAACTAGCTGGGCATGGTGGCAAGTGCCTGTGGTGCCAGCTACTCAGGATGCTAAGGTGGGAGGACTGCTTAAACCCAGGATGCCAAGGGCACAACGTGCCGTGATTGAGCCACAGAACTCCAGCCTGGGCAACAGAATGAGACCCTGTCTGAAAAATGAAAACAAAAACACACAATCAAAATTCTGAGCCCATAAAAAAGATGATTGATAAATGCAACTGCATCAAAATTAAAGCTTTTGTATGGCAAAAAACATCGTTAGGAAGTCAAGAAAACAAACAAAGAAAGTCAAAAAACAGTCAACAAACTGGGAAAAAAAGGCGTATTGGAGCTGGCTTGCCCTGGCTCCTTTGAGCTGATTGTTACATTTTCAGGAGTTTTGCAAACTGCTTGTCAAACAGTTATTAAAAATTAAATGATAGAAACATAATTAAATAAAGTATATTAGAATAGGAAGTAATAAATACTGAAAAACTCATCACTTCCTAATTATTTAACTACATTTTGCTATCATGAATGCTTGAGGTATTTACATCTATTGTTTTTGGGTTTTTTTTTTTTTTTGAGACAGAGTCTCACTCTGTTACCCAGGCTGGAGTACAGTGGCGTGACCTTGGCTCATTGAGTTCAAGCAATTCTTCTGCCTCAGCCTTCCAAGTAGCTGAAATTACAGGTGTGTACGACCACGCCTGGCTAATTTTTGTATATTTAGCAGTGACAGGGTTTCACCATGTTGGCCAGGCTGGTCTCAAACTCCTGACCTCGTGTAACCCACCCGCCTCAGCCTCCCAAAGTCCTGGGATTACAGGTATGAGCCACCTCGCCTGTCCACATCTATTGCTGTGTTTGTATTGTATAAATACAAAGGTGTATTTGTATTATATTATGTATATAATTGTGTGTTGCTGAACGTTTCTTCTGAGCTCCACATTGAGTGACATAATGTTAGTAGCTTGAAATTGTTCATCATGGGGCTATTTACACCATGGAAACTGGCAAATGCTATAAACCTGAGTTTATTTTTTCCCAGAGAGTCATTGTTATTTACCTACATACCACTGGAAAAGAGTGTTTGCAACACGCATGACAAAGAAAAGGCTAATCCCTCTATGTGCAATGTGCTCCTATAAGCCAAGTATCAAAAGACTACTAACATAATATAAACATAAGAAAGGTATGAAAAGTCCATTCATAGAAATAAAAAGGTGCTCTGCCTCACAGCAAGAGACGCACAAAACAGAACCACACTGAGATGATTTTTTACCTATGATTAGCAAAAATTTAAGTTTGATAAAACTATTGGCGAGGATGTGGGGAAACAGGGATTCTTTAACCTTGCTGGTGAGTACATAGATTAGTAAAACCCCTTTGGAGGCAATTTGGTTATAAATTTGTATACATAAGTAAAATTACCTTCAGGCACAGTGGCTCATGCCTATGTTCCCAGTGTTTTGGGACGCTGAAGCAGGGGGAGTGCTTGAGGTCAGGACCTCGAGACCAGCCTGAGTGTCTCTACAAAAAAACATAAAAAATTAGCCAGGCGGTAGCGAGTACCTGTAGTCCCAGCTACTTGGGAAGCTGAGGCAGGAGGATCGCTTGAGCCCAGAAATTTGAGGTTACAATGAGTTATGATCTTATCACTATCTCCAGCCTGGATAACAGAGTGAGACCCAGTCTCTGATAATAATAGTAATAATAATAAACAAACCAAAACTACCAATCCATGGACTCTTTGACCCAGCAATTCTGTTTTTGAGAACTCATCCTTTTTTTTTTTTTCTGAGAGTACTCTCACCCTGTTGCCCAGGCTGGAGTGCAGTGCTGTGATCTCAGCTCCCTGCAACCTCCACCTCCTGAATTCAAGCGATTCTCCTGCCTAAGCCTCCCTTAGGCAGGGATTACAGGCACCTGCCACCATGTCCAGCTAATTTTTGTATTTTAGTTAGAGACGGGGTTACACCATGTCAGTCAGGCTGGTCTCGAACTCCTGACCTCAGGTGATCTGCCCGCCTAGGCCTCCCAAAGTGTTATCTTTTGCATAATAAAATAAAAATTTATTTGCATAAACAAAATCTGGAAAGATAAATAAGAAACTACGAATCAAAATCATTATGGGGGAGTTTGATGTGCAGGATGTGGGAACTGGATGGGTAGGGAGTGAGATGAGATCAAGACTTGGCAACCTCGTTTTGCAGCAAAATGTTGAGCTATGTCAATGTATTATCTTTTTATAAAATTAAATGAGATAAAAGAAACTTCATTAAAGAGCATTTGATTGTTCAGTTCACAAGTTACTGAATACACAGTTATTGAGCATCTACCATGTGGCAGGCACTGTTCCAGGAGCTGTGCCCAGAAGATAGTCACCAGATTGTGCAAGTCATCATCTACATACAGCTCAAGAATTTGTGTCTTTAATCACAGAAACCACCCTTTGAATGCTACAGATTCCATTATGCCCACCCAATACTTTCCTCCCATCCCATCCAGTCTCTTATCCATGACCTCACCATGGTAACAATATCCCCCATGGCCATTCAGATCTAGTAATAATTCAATGTTTGTCTTTTCTGTGTATGTTTGGTGTGTATATTTTTACATCTTGATTTTCTTTTTTTGAGCATATTGTTCCATATGGTTGGTAGAATATGATATGAAAAGGTCAGGACTTTAATTTTATGGACCATTTAGCTTCGTTTGGAATGAGAATAAAGCTCCCATGACCAGAGATTTACCCAGCAATCTGAGCCAGAGGCTTAGCAGATGTCTGCATGCCCTTGGTTACTGGAGGTCAGAGCAGGACATCACAGATGGTTTGCTCCCTTCAAACCTATCATCACGACCAGAAATGTCATCAGTAGGACACAACTTTTAGGTAGTTTGGCAAAAGTAGTATATTCATAAATAAAAGTAAATATCTGTCTATGTGGGTGCACTTCTGCGTGCATGTGGAATGTTTTGCAATCTCCTTGAGGGCAGTAAAACAATGATTAAACCTATAAGCATAATCCCAGAAATTGACAAAGCACATTCCCTCACATCTTTCACATCTGCGTTCATATACCATCTTCTCAGAAAGCCTTTCCCTGACCACCACTAGAAAGCAACTCACTGGTAGGGCGCGGTGGCTCACGCCTGTAATCCTAGCACTTTGGGAGGCCGAGGTAGGTGGATCGCCTGAGGTCAGGAGTTCGAGACCAGCCTGGCCAACATGGTGAAACTCCATCTCTACTAAAAACACAAAAAATAGCCGGATGTGGTGGCACATACATGCCTGTAATCCCAGTACTCGGGAGGGTAAGGCAAGAGAATCGCTTGAACTGGGAGGTGGAGGTTGCAGTGAGCCAAGATCACGCCACTGCACTCCAGCCTAGGTGACAGAGTGGAATTCATCTCAGAAAAAAAGAAGGAAAGTAATCCACCTGAGTTTTTGTCTGTTTTACTCTTGTACTCTCTTTCATCCCAGCTCTTACTGTATTTTTTCCCTTTTTGTAATTGCTTACTAGATGGTGAGCTCCTTAGAGGGAAGTACTGTACGTATTTCCGCCACGTCTCCAGCACCCAACGCTGTGCCTGACATAGAGAGGGCCCTTATAAGTGTTTGTGAAAGACTGACAGAGACATGGCCTATGAAACAAGAAGCTGGATAACATTGTAACTATTTTTTGATTTGGGGGAATTGGAGTCTAAAGGGCATGGCTTGTTTTCTAGTTGGGTGGGCTGGTGTGCTGCTGGGTGTTTTTGGTAAATGTGAAGATTTCCTCCTGCCTGGTTAGCCTGCACTCTGTATGCATACCATACACAAGGCAGCTGGCTCACCACAGTGGACTGGGACAGTTCACAGCTCCCTGCCAGCCAGTTAGACTGTCCCATCAATCTGTCCCAGAAGCTCCCTCACCCTCTGATCTGACAGTAATTCAATCCTTCCCTTGGAGTTCTCTGATCACCCGCCCTGTGTGCTCCTCTCTCCTGTCCCTTGCTGTGTGAGCTGCTCAGACTTCAGCAGCCATATGGACTAAAGCAAAAGTGAGTTCATCCGCAGAGCATGTGCTTGGGCAGCCAAGTCCTCCAGGTTTGAATAAAATGACCCAACGCATTTGGTATTCACTGAGCAGTCACACAGGGACATGTCCATTCTAGGATGTCCCTCACAAAGACCAGATGCTGCCTCAGCCAGATTCGCCTAAGTTCTTTGATTGGGACTCCTGGTGGGAGGCATGGGAGGTCAGACTCCTTCCACTTTCCCATCCTATCCTCCCCCTCCCCCCGCATTCCTCATTCTACTGACCATTGGTTTTGCCTTAATGATGAATTCCAATAGGAATCCCCATTCCCAATTCCATTTGGATTCTTCCCAAATTGAAATCCTTCACCTGGTCTATAGCTGCAAATTGAAAAGACTCAAATTACGGCCTTCATAGACAACGTGCTATTTTATTTCTTGGGGGCAAAGAACTGGCACTGGTTAATGGGTTATATTCCAATGTACAATGCCCTCTGATTGTGTATTATATATTAGCACTCTGGATTTGAAAGAGACAATTGTGTCATGTTTGCCCATTAATCGAGAATGCTCATCTCAGCTGCACTGTGTTGCATGCCAGCCAAACTTGTCATTCTCAGACCCAACAGCTTTTAATTGTTATGTTGCCCTTTCATGGCAACCTTTCTCAGAGTTCGGAGAGCAAAAACAGAGTCCTACCTAAATATCAGCTTCTTCCCACTCTGAGAAAAAAAAAGAATCCATTTAGATGGAAAGGATTTGGTTTTCTCATTCCCAGAGACTAACAATGCTGCAGCGATTTCCAGTACCCATCAAGTCTAAATGCTAGCTATGGGATTCCTTCTTCCTAGTAAAGATAGGAAATGTATCATACAAGAAAAGGGTTCCCATGACCTCTCAGGAAGCTGGAGACCAAAATAGAAGAAATGCCTTAAAAATCATTATCGAGACTCGATTCAATGCAAGCAATAGAAAATCTAAATCAAACTGTCTTAGGCAAAAATTTTTATTCAGTCATAAAACTGAAAAGACCTGGGATAGTACTGCATCCGCCTATCTAGATTCCGGGCTTGAAAATATCTTCAAGACTTGGTCCCATCCTCGCCATATGTTTGCTCTTCCGTTGCTGCGTTAACCCCTGGTCAGGGGAGCTTATTTCTCCTTCTTGCCTTTCTTGTGGCGGGATTACGGCAGCAGGTCAGCGGCAGGCTCTGAGCTCTAGTGAAAGTCCCAAGACTGACTCATTGGACTAGTTTGGGTCATGGTTCTCGTTCTGAACCAATCACGGGGAATGGAGCCTGATAATTGGCCAGATTTGGCCAGAAAGGATTAAATCCATCCACCCAAACCGTGTAAACTGCAATGAGAGGGGGTGGTGGTTCTCCAGGAAAATCCAAGGGCTGTTACCAGAAAAATGGGGAACAGATGCTGAACAAACTAGAAAACGGAGGGACTGTCCCTTCATCTCAGCTTCAGGATTGAAGGTCGAATGTGTTTGTAGGTTGGTAACGTAAGTTAATGTCTTCTCCCAGAACCCTGCCCAGAATAAAGAGCACCGTTTACTGAGTGCCGGGTCCTGTGGCCGGTGTGGTACATCCTTTCATTTAATCCTTTCGTCTGCCCTATGATGGGCCCCCTTTTCTAAATAAGGGAAGGAGGCATAAGGAGATTAAATGGCATACTCGAAGCCACACAGCTGCTAAAGGATGAGTCGTTATTTAACCCCGGTCTGACTCCAGACTCCGTGTTTATTTTCCTTTTGCGTATTTCCCAAACTTGCCAATTCACAAGATTCTCTGGGGCTGTTTGTGAAAAACACAGGTTCTCAGGCACTCTTCCTGGGAGATTCTGATTCAGAAAGTCTGGGCGGAAGTCTGAGAATCTCTTTTAACAGGTGTGCTCAGTAACCCTTATAATTAGACAAAGTTGAAAATGCATAATATGCTGCCTCCCACAAGTTAAAAAATACCTGACACGGCCATTGCACAAGCCTCGCCCCCTTTTTCTGCTCTTCCTTTCCCCACAGAGGACCTGAGGGCATTGCTGGCATTACTATATCTGCCCATCAGGTTCATTCCTGGAAGTGGAATGGTCTCTGGAGTGGTCCTCCGCAAAGATGGGAGGCATACAAGGTCCAACTGGTGTGTGGGAGGCAATATTTCTTTTTTGTCCATTTCTATTTGATTTTAGAAATGAAAATCCCACAATAGAGGGGATAATGGTGCTCCCACTGATTTGCTACCTTCCAGGCAATTAATGACTTACCTGTTTTGAAATGAAATTACAGATTATTTATCCACTCTCCTGTCCCCTGAAGTCGCCATAGAGACAAGTATGGTTTTGGAGACATGTTTTACAAAATCATAAACAAACATAAAGTCCTTGTATCATACAAACTGTTTCAGAGCATAGGGGAAAACCTACCCAGATGTTTTTACGAAATTAGTATAACTTTAATTCTAAAGCTGACAAGAACGGGGCGCAGTGACTCATGCCTCTAATCCCAGCACTTTGGGAGACCAAGGCAGGCAGATCACAAGGTCAGGAGTTCAAGACCAGCCTAACCAACAAGGTGAAACCCCATCTCTACTAAAAATATAAAAAAAAAATTAGCTGGGCGTGGTGGTGCTTGCCTGTAATCCCAGCTTCTCAGAAAGCTGAGGCAGGAGAATCGTTTGAACCCGGGAGGCAGAGGTTGCAGTGAGCCGAGATAGCACCACTGCATGCCAGCCTGGAGTGTGAGTACGGCCCCCTAGAAAACAAAAAAACAAGAAAACCCTGACAAGAACAAGAAAATAATCTATTAATCACACTTGAGAATGTAGATGCAAAAATCCTAAATAAAATATTAGCAAATTTAGTTAAGTAGTGTATTAAAAATAGTGGGTAGCCAGTACTTTATACAAATAAGTAGAATTCATGGGATATAATCATGAAGTAGTAGTATTTTTCTCCTGTGATTGAACTTTTTTTTTTTTTTTTAGATGGAATCTTGCTCTTTTGTTGCCCAGCCTGGAGTGCAGTGGCACCATCTTGGCTTGCTACAATCTCTGCCTCCCAGGTTCAAGTGATTCTCATGCCTCAGCCTCCCAAGTTGCTGGGACTACAGGTCACGATTGATTTTTGTGTTTTCAGTAGAGATGGAGTTTCACGATGTTGGCCAGGCTGGTCTTGAACTCCCGACCTTAGGCGATCTGCCCACCTCAGCCTCTCAAAGTGCTGCTGGGATTACAGACATGAGCCACTGTGCCCAGCTGCAGTTGTAAACTGAATGTGGGGTGAGTCCTTTCTTGTCCCTGAATGAAATCTCTGGCAGGTGTCACTGATTTTTCTGGCCACTACAAATAAAAAATCCTTTGACCATGAGAACTAGTCTCAATTCATGAATTACGATATTTCAGCCGAGCGCAGTGGTTCACGCTAGTAATCCCAGCATGTTGGGAGGCTGAGGTGGGTGGATCCCCTGAGGTCAGGAGTTTAAGACCAGCCTGGCCAACATGCTGAAACCCCATCTCTATGAAAAATACAAAAACTAGTTGGCCGTGGTGGTGCACACCTATAATCCCAACTATTTGGGATGCTGAGGCAGGAGAATTTCTTGAACCTGGGAGGCAGATATTGCAGTGAGCCGAGATGGCACCACTGAATTCCAGTTTGGGCAACAGAGCAAGACTCTGTCTCAAAAACAAAAAAACAAACAAACAAAAAACCTAGTCCCAGGTAGTAGTCAAAATTACATTACAAAATGCAAGTTTATCCTGGCCCCTACCTGAGCCTGCAGTGGGAATGGAGGGGGTGGTATGTGTCTCCTCTGTCTTCCTCAGTGTTGTTTTCTCCTCCTCCACATGTACCCTTTAGGTGGTCTCTGACTCCTATAGGTTGAAACAGGGAAGGGAGAGGGGACAACAAGGAAGGTCCTACTTGCACAGCACTGACATGAACTGGTATTAGAACTCCCTGAGCTAGACAGAAGTTTAAAGTAACTTTTTGTTGCATGGAGCACTTTTGTGAACTTTCTTTGAGATCATACCCCTCCACCCACCACCTTGCCCCTCCCTTTTTGGGAATCTCTCACCTGTCATTTCATTCTTGCAGGAGAAAACATCTTTTCTAAGTCTTCTCTTAGCAGCTCAGTGTTTGGCTTTAGTTCTAGTTCCAGCATTTTTTGTTTGTTTTTTTGAGACAGAGTCTCACTCTGTCACCCAGGCTGGAGTGCAGTGGCATGATCTTGGGTCACTGCAACCTCTGCCTCCTGGGTTCAAGCAATTCTCTGCCTCAGCCTCCAGAGTAGCTGGGATTACAGGCGCCCACCACCATGCCCAGCTAATTTTTTGTTATTTTAGTAGAGAACTGGGTTTCATCATGTTGGCCAGGCTGGTCTTGAACTCCTGACCTCATGAACCACCTGCCTTGGCTCCCAAAGTGCTGGAATTACAGGCATGAGCCACCATGCCTGGCCTACAATGGCACAATCTTGGTTCACTGCAATCTCCACCTCCTGGGCTCAAACCATCCTCATATCTCAGCCTCCCTAGCAGGGACTTCAGGCATATGACACTATACCTGGCTAATTTTTGTGTTTTGGGTAGAGACAAGGTTTTGCCATGTTGCCTAGGCTTGTCTCAAACTCCTGGCCTCAAGCGATCCTCCCTCAGCATATCTCTAGTTCCTTCTAGAAACTGGTCCTCTTAGTTGGATCTAGGAAACTTTACAATGGCAAACGCTCTCTTATAGCTCACAACTGGCCCATGGAAGATGACTTCCTATTTTGCTCAGATAAATTCTGGTACTGTGAAATTTCCCCAGTGCGTCTCTTTACTCTGCCCTCAGAGCCACTACCAGCCAGCTCCCCATCCTTTAGAATTCTCAGATGTTAGATTATGTCTTCTCTGTCCTTCATGTTCTGGGAGACTCTGAGAAAACGCAAGAGGCCAACAAGGCTAAATTCTGTTTTTAGAAAGAAGATGGTGGGACTTCTATGACATCATAGGACTCATTTTAAACTATAGATATAATAACATAATGGGATGGAGCAAGAATTGGAAAATAAATCAATGGAATAGGATAGGAGCCCAGAACATACTCGCACATATCTAGACATTCACTATATGATAAATATAGAATTAAAAATCAATAAGGAAATAATGAACTGTTTAATAAATGGTGTTTGAAAAAACGATTCTCCATATGGAAACACACAAAATTGGACCCCCGTTCTATATAACAGATGGGTTAAAAATTCTACAAGTGGTCCGGGCCCGATGGCTCATGCCTGTAATCCCAGCACTTTGGGAGGCTGAGGCAGGCGGATCACCTGAGGTCAGGAGTTCAATACCAGCCTGGACAACATGGTGAAAACCCATCTCTACTAAAAATTCAAAAAAATTTGCCGGGTATGGTGGCAGGTGCCTATAATCCCAGCTACTTGGGAGACTGAGGCAGGAGAATCGCTTGAACCTGGGAGGTGGAGGCTGCAGTGAGCTGAGATGGCGCTGTTGCACTCCAGCCTGGGTGACAGAGTGAGATTCTGTCTCAAAAAATAAAAGAAATAGAAATAAAAAGAGAGGGCAGTAAAATCTGGGAGATGTTTGCATAGGAAGGCACAATTATGTTCGCAATGCTTAATTAAAAAAAAAAATCCTGAGGTAGATCTCTAAATACCATTTCCCTTGGTGAAATGGCCGATTCCAGGTTTGGGGCAAGTTATGCACATGGTGAGCACTGGAGAACTTGTTTTGCAGGAGGTGAAGAAGCACTCTAAGACTACTTGGGATGGTCTCAAAACAGCAGAGGAACCGCTTTGAACTGGCTGAGGTGGGGCAATTTGTGCATCCAAAAGGATAGTAATAATATCATGGATTAAAACCTATCAAATACATAAAAATCATGAGTTCATAAGGATACCTAAAAATAATAATAAACCCAAGCAATCTAATGGCTTGTCTTTGGAGGTTAGGGTAATAGTTTATTATTCTGAAAATGAAGAAATAATGAGAAAGCGTTTATTATACCTTTCCTATGCCAACTATATTTTAGAATAACTAAGTAGTTGATAGAAGTAGTTCCTGCCTATATAGAATTCCAAATTATCAATGCAAGAGAAATTATAGATTAAAAAAATTCACCTCCAGCGAAATGATTGATCTAGGGCTGGAGGCAGTGGCTCATGCCTGTAATCCCAGCACTTTGGGAGGCTGAGGTGGGAGGATCGCTTGAGGCCAGGAATTTGAGACCAGCCTGGGCAACATGGCAAAACCTCGGCTCCACTCAAAAGATAAAAATTAGCCAGGTGTGGTGGCACGTGCCTGAAGTCCCTACTAGGGAAGCTGAGACAGGAGGATGATTTGAGCCTGGGAGGTGGAGGTTGCAGTAAACCAAGATTGCCGCATTGCACCTTAGCTTGGGTAACAGAGCCAGACCCTGCCTCAAAAGAAAAAANAAAAAAAAAAAAAAAAAAAAAAAAAAAAAAAAAAAAAAAAAAAAAAAAAAAAAAAAAAAAAAAAAAAAAAAAAAAAAAGAAAGACTTGATTTAGTCAACAAGGCAACATTCATTGATGAGGCTAAAACGATTGACTGGAATATTGATGGGGAGCATTATAAAGGAAGGGCCAGGCTGATCTCACCTATACCCCATGATCAATCTTAGCTTCCCTACAAGAAGGGCGGCTCAAACCCTATGTGCGTCATGGTGTAATGCAACAGGAAGCATCATTTAGATTTTCTTGCCTAAAGAGTTGAACCTGATTGTATCTTTAGAATTTGCTACTAGTTTACAGGAAATCTGAGGGACAGAAGAATGACTTAAATGACGAGAATACAATCAGCTAAATCAAAAACGTGGGACATTCCATTGGAAAGGTGACCCAGTTTCTCCAACAATTATGCATTATTCTCCAGCCAAGACGGGATTAGAAAAAAAGGGAGGGTGGATTATTAGGGATTAAATAGACTGAGAAGAGATAATAATAAAAGTGATGGGGGACCCTTGTTTGCATCCCAATTTGAACAAATCAAGAATAAAAAGACAGTTTGAGAAAATCAAGGAAATATGCATATGGATTGGTATTAGAGGACATAAAGGAATTATGATTTTTGTTAAGTAGGATGAAAGCATAGTGATTATGTTTAAAAAATGTCCTTATCATCTATAAAAGGACACATTCGAGTATAATGAAGGAGCCTAGGAAATTTTGCCCCTAAACATGGCACTCTTGCATGCTGATTATTTTAAATTAAAGGTCCTTGAAAGTAAACAGATGCTGAAAGATGTAATTCTCTGATATTCTCTTACCTACCTGAAGATGGGACCCTTGGCCAGGTGCAGTGGCTCACCCCTGTAATCCCAGCACTCTGGGAGGCTGAGGTGGGAGAATCACTTGAGGTCAGAAGTTTGACACTAGCCTGGGCAACATAGTGAGACCGCACTTCTACAAATATTAAAAAAGAAAAAAGGACTGGATCATCCAAATAATACACAATTGCCTTCTTTCCCCTCCCTGAAATCTCATTATGTATGACAGGAAAGAAGACTGAGGAATGCAGCCACACTTGGATGATTTTTTCACAAGATAGTACTGTATCTGCCTCTGTGACCCATTTGAATTCCAAAAAGAATCATTTACAAGTTAATTTCTGTCTTGGGGTCCATTCATTCTCCCTAATCATTGTTTACTACCCCTCAGATGCATGGCCTGCATTCTGCAGCTCCCTGCCACCTATGAAGAAGGGTACAGAAGCATCTGTACCTCATTGGGTTATTGGGTAACCATTTTCCTGCGATCCTCCAATGTTTAGGCATGTTAATAAAACTGTATGCCTCATAGAAGCAAAGTAAAATAACAACAAAAAATTGTATGCCTTTTTCCCCTCTGTTAATCTGTGTATTTATTTATTTATTTTGAGATGGAGTCTCGGTCTGGTTGGAGTGCAATGGCATGATCTCAGCTCACTGTAACCTCCACCTCCCGGGTTCAAACAATTCTCCCACTTCAGCCTCCTGAGTAGCTGGGATTACAGGCGTCTGCCATCACACCCTGCTAATTTTGTATTTTTAGTAGAGATAGGGTTTCACCATGTTGGTCAGGCTGGTCTCAAACTCTTGGCCTCAGGTGATCCACCTGCTTCAGCCTCCCAAAGTACTAGGATTACAGGCATGAGCCACTATGTCCAGGCAATCTGTGTTTTATTTCAGTAGACTTAGACTTGAACCCTCACGGGAAAGTTTGAACTTCACTGCAGTAACAGTGTCATACTGGACCCCTACTGACTCCAGTAGAGATGGCACCATGTCCAAAAGGCCAAAGAAAAATCCAGAGATAGCGAATGAGACATAGGGTTTATTTGGGGGAACTTACACACAGGGATGGTCTAGTGGCAGTGGGTTGGACAGGAGAATCACTACTATTGGTAAAAAAGCGTGCAGTTCATATGGCATTTTCACATAGCATCCTCCACCTACCAACCTTCACCTACCAGCCTCCATTTAGCCTCCCCAAAAGGGACTTGATCCCCTATATTACCTGTGTTCCAAGTGATGGGCTAAAGGTTCAGATGTCCTTCATAGATTAGGAATGGATCTCCTGGTTTGCTACTCCTGGATTCCTTAGCATGGGACTCTGAACACACATTCTTCTTAGGTCGCAGGGTCATTCTCAGCGTCAGGCTTCAATGAAGTTATCGTTGTCAGGAGTATCTGCCACATGCATGGTAAAACGCCTTTCAAGTGGTCTTTTACCCCAACCCTTCAGGGAGTCTTAAAGAATGAGAAGTAGAAATGAAATTGTAAGCCCCTCAACTGACTGAACGGACCCCGTCTTGGCCAGGGGGACCACAGAGAGACCTTGGAAGCTGAGTTCCTGGCCATGATGGGATGGAAGCTCAGACATGCCTCATTGTACCCCATCCCTCGCTAGCCACTATTAGGCTTTCTTCCCTAAGGGTTAAACAGAAACCAGCCCTTTCAGAAGAACACCACTGATTTCCACCACCAACTGACTTTTGACCTTTCCTTTTGCAGTTTCAACACAACTGACTGACATTCCTTACTGAACAGAGATCAGCAACAACAGAGTGGTTCTGTCCTGCCTATGGGGGATGTACAGTGAAGGTCTTCATGTCCTGTGCTTCACCTTTTGATCAGAGGGCTGAATACTCCATCATTGGATCATAGTAATGCCACCATTTTTTTGAACATGGGTCCTGTGTAGAGGCATGAAGCTCAATTGTGCATGTGTGTTTCTCCTTTCATGAATATTCATGACCCCTCCTATAGCATATTGAATATGTATATGTGGCCACCCCATTCAGCATAAATTCCTATCTTATACTTCTGACGCTTGAAGTGTCAGTTTCTTTTTGAGACGAGTCTTGCTCTGTCTCCCAGGCTGGAGTGCAGTGGCACCACCTTGGCTTACTGCAACTTCCCCCTCCCAGGTTCCAGTGATTCTTCCACTTCAGCCTCCCGAGTAGCTGGGATTACAAGTGCTCACCACCATGCCTGGCTAATTTTTTGTATTTTTAGTAGAAATGGGGTTTTACCATGTTGGTCAGGCTGGTCTCAAACTCTTGACCTCAAGTGATTTGTCCACCTTGGCATTCCAAAGTGTTGGGATTACAGGTGTGAGCCACCGTGCCCGGTGAAGTGCCTGTTTCTGGCTTCTGGTTGGAGACTGTGCTTCCCAGCCTGTGCGAATGGCCACCCTGCAGGCTACAACCTTCTAGGAGAAATGCAGCTCTCCTTCCTCAAGATTATGAACCTCATCATTCTTCAGTTTTCATGAGCTACAGAAACTGGCCACATGCTTCAGTCGAGGGTATATATAATATGAGCATCTCACTTGGTCCTGCTGGGTGCCACAGCCTGAGAATGTAATACAGACTAGGAGGAGCAGATTCCCTGCTTTCAGTGAGGTGGGCACTGCAGCAGCGCACTGGAGCACTGCACCAGCGTTTGTGGGGCTCAGAGAAGGGCACCAGTGGGTGCAGCCGTGTGAAAAGGAGTGTCCTGGGGGCCCTTGGAGAGAGGCTGTAGCAGACTTCCAGAACATCCCAGGGGCTCCTGGAACCAGAAAGGCAGGGTATGAGGAAGGCATCTACTGATAAGGACTGAGCTCTAGGACTCTTCTGTTAGGGTCTCCACTCCAGGCTGATGGGACTTGAGGACATCTGGCCTACACTCACAGGGTGTAGATTAGGCTTTTTTTTTTTTTTTTTCTTGAGATGGAGTCTTGCTCTGTTGCTCAGACTAGAGTGGGGTGGCATGATCTTTGCTCACTGCAACCTCCGCCTCCCGAGTTCAAGCAATTCTCCTGCCTCAGCCTCTTGAGTAGCTGGGATTACAGGTGCACGCCACCATGCCTGGCTAATGTTTGTATTTTTAGTAGAGACAGGGTTTTACCATGTTGGTCAGGCTGGTTTTGCACTCCTGACCTCGTAATCCACCCACTGCAGCCTCCCAAAGTGCTGGGATTACAGGCGTGAGCCACCGTGCCGGGCTAGATTAGGCATTTTACATGCAAGCACGACAGTCCAAACCCTGGGTCACCCCTATTTTACAGCTAGGGAAATAAAGGCAGAAAACTGTTTAGCTTTGACCTCTTCCAAAGGCTGGGCAAGAACTATCTCCTGACTCCAGGCTGCTCTCTAACCGCCACCATCCTGTAAACCTTTCTGATTTTCTGCACACTTTTGTCTAACATGTTGAAAGACTGTCAAAAGAGTTGCAGGGTTCAGCCCAAGAGGTGTGAATAGCTACTATCTTCTTTCTGAAGCTTTTATCAGGGACTGCTGTTCTCACAAATCAAACTGTGAGAACATTTGCCAGAAATTTCCCTGGAGTTCAGGCTTCACTCTTCCTGCAGTATCAGAATGAGCATGTTTAGTGGTGGTGATTGCATTGCTTGAGGCCTGAGTCCATTCTGCCTTAGAAGTGCTGTTCTTTCCATTTGATGCCTGTGTCTGTGGTGGATCCCAGGAGAGGAGGGGGTGGCAGTGTTTCTGTGGCACTTTGCCAGTGGCAAGAAGGCTAGGCTTGCCCTGAGAGTTTCTGTTTGTAGGCTCTGAACCAAGTCCAGGGAGCTACTTGCCATGGAAATCCTGGAGGTGGTTTGGCTAGAGGAGACAGGTACGCTTGCAGACAGCTGTTTTTCTGACCCTGCCATCTGAACTGACAAAGCACCTGTGATGGATTCATTTCTCCAATTCCCATGACCTGGCTCTTTCTTTTGATAAAATTTCCTCCTTGCCATATCCATGGACTCAAATCTGGGAATTACTTTTGAAGTATGGGACAATGTTGAAAGACTTTTGCATTTTGTATTTATTTAGACCATGTCTGCCTTGTGTATAGAGTGGGGCATCTTCTGGTTTGGTGCAGAGGCTCACATCTATAATGCCAGCACTTTGGGAGGCTGAGGGGGGTGGATCACTTAAGGTCAGGAGTTAGACCAGCCTGGCCAACATGGTGAAACCCCATCTCTACTAAAAATATGAAAATTAGCCAGGCTGGTGGCAGGCGCCTGTGATCCCAGCTACTCAGGAGGCTGAGGCAGAAGAATTGCTTGAACCCAAGAGGCGGAGGCTGCAGTGAGCCAGGATCGAGCCACTGCACTCCAGACTGGGCGACAGAGCGAGACTCTGCCTGAACAGCAACAGAAGCAACAGAGTAGGGCATCTTCCTATTATAAGTAAATGTTCATCGCTACTCTCTATAAAGGCTAGAAACCTAGAAGAGTTTAATAAGAAGAGGATAAAAAGAAGTAGGATATCTTTCCTGGTCTTCTTGAAGGTAATCCCATGATATATGTGCCAGATACTAAAACCAAACCAGATATCAGTATCATGCAGAATGGAATAGAATAAAGAGCCCTACAAAAGAGATGAGCAGTGTGGCTTTTTCAAGATGTTTAGTCCACATTGGCCTTGATTGGCTCATCTGTAAAATAAGGCTAAATAATGACTAACCTAAGTAAAGGCAAGAGGTTCAACCTGATAAATATCTGGAGTGACTGACAATCCAACCATCCATTCACTCATTCACTATTGCTTTATATACTCATTGATTTGTACATTCTTTCAGTCAACAAGTATTTGTTGAGGGCATGTTACATTTTTTATGAAAAGAGCGAAACTCTGCAAAATATTTGGAGAGATTTATTCCGAGCCAACTACTTGTGACCGGGGCCTGAGACACAGTTTCAAGAGATCCTGAGAACATATGTCCAAGGTGGTTGGGCAGAGCTTTTTTTTTTTTAGTGTGTGTGTGTGTGTGTGTGTGTGTTTGAGACAGAGTCTCGCTCTGTCGCCCAGCTTGGAGTGCAGTGATGTGATCTCAGCTTACTGCAACCTCTATCTCCCAGGTTCAAGCAGTTCTCCTGCCTCAGCCTCCCAAGTAGCTGGGATTTCAGGCACATGCTACCATGTGTGGCTAATTGTTTTGTATTTTTAGTAGAGATGGGGTTTCACTATGTTGGCCAGGCTGGTTTCAGACTCCTGACCTCAAGTGATTTGCCCGCCTTGGCTTCCCAAAGTGCTGGGATTACAGGCGTGAGCAACCATGCCTGGCCACAGCTTGGTTTTATACATTTTAGGGAGACATAAGACATCAATCAATACATGTGAGGTATACATTGGTTTGGTCTGGAAAAGTGGGACAACTTGAAGCAGGGTGGGGCTTACAGGTCATAAGTGGATTCAAAGATTTTCTGATTGGCACAAAATATACAAAAATTAGCTGGCCATGGTGTCACACGCCTGCAGTCCCAGCTACTCAGGAGCTGAGGTGGGAGGATTCCTTGAGCACGGGAAGTCAAGGTTGCAATGAGCCAAGATGGGGCCATTGCTTTTGAGCAACAGAGTGAGACTCTGTCTCAAAAAAAAAGAAAAAAAAGAAAGAAAACATTCAGTTCTAGTAATCTGGAAAAGCATTCAGAAAGAGATGACCAATAAAATAAAATAAAACATGGTCTATAGATGCTCACAGGTAGGGAATCAGAGAGCAACAGGAGGCAGGTGGTTTGGAACTAAAGGTCTGTGTAGCAGTGAATTTTTGTCAGCATAAGCTGCCAGCCAGCTGTCTTCCTAGGGGCTGTCAAACTCAGTTTAGCAAGTTCCCACACAACCCACCCCGTTGGCCTCTGCAGTCTGCTTTTCCTTGGATTGAAGCTGTCGGTCTCTGGGGAAGGACGGTTGGCAGATGAGTCAGGGATTGAAGTTAGACCTAGGTGGTCTCCCAAGGGCAGGATTCTGACAAGACTGAAGTTTGACAATGAAGCTGATGCAAATGCAGACTGGTGGTGCCCCAGTACCCTTTGTGTTGCCTTCCTTGCTTCTAACTTGGTGTGACTTGTTCGAAATCCCACCTACTTCTTCACCAGGACCAACTTTTCACACTCTGAAATGGATTTCTCTTTGTGGTCTGTTAGGCTGCTATGTGGTTTCCTCGACGGGATTCCTTTTTGTGGTTGGAGGTCAAACCCTTTCTTGCCTGCTGCTTCCAGGAATGTGTGGTGTGTGTCTCAGCGTGCTACACGGGAGGGTTTTATTTCACCTCCCTTGAATGGAATGGCAGTCATCCAGCAGGTCTGGGTGCATGTATAAATAGAGAGATGTGTAAGCCTGCATTTAATATCTAGAACATAGACCAGCCACCGCTGCGTGCTACACCGTCATGATTTGATTAAAGGCTGCTGACAGCCCCGCAGACCATGCTGTGGGGCCCAGCAAACCACCTAATCCCACTGCTTGATCCCAGGCATAGATGGGGCAGATTTCACTGCCAGGAGCACTTTCTTTCCAGCCACCAGCCGCTCTGAGTTTCTGCTGCTTTTCCTGCTTCAGCTGTTCATTGTTGATGACTCCAGGTCAGACGGGCCAGAGTGAACATGGAAGGCTG